AACCTTTGTAGATACCTGCGAAAGTTGTGGTATACTGATCCTGGAAGCTGAGGGACATCATCGCCGTGTTGGAGTTGACGCAGTAGTCTCCGAAGGGACGGCAGCGGTGACCACACCTGGCCGTTGGCACAGCGGTTGTTTTCGGAGGGACGAAAACGTTGGTGGTTCTGATAGTCGGGTTAACCGTTGTCGCCTGAACTCGTTTGAGGGTCACCACACGAAGCTGATCAAGCAGGAAAGTTATCGCACCGGTTGTGGAGTCGTATCCCAAATTCATGTAGGAGTAGTCATCCGTCAGACCTGGGAACCTCCCATGGAGCCCGTGCAACACATTTTGCGGTACACGAACTCTGATGAGGCTAGAACTAATCATGGCGAAGTCGACCTCGAATGGGAAGGAGTAATCCGCGTCGTTTTGTACAATACGGTAGAGGGCACGGCCGCGCTCTTTCGAAAACCGCATAGTGACTTCAAACTTCGAAGATGGGAAGTCACCGTGAGGGTCCTCGATCTCATTCACGCTTCGATAGATGCCATCCGGGGGTGTAGTTGTAACAGGTCCTGCGTCATTAGCCGGGTCTGATTCGTGCAGAAGCTGGAAGGAAGCCCCATTGGCATTAAATGTGATTCGATTCTGGACAGGGTCGTAAAAGAATACCGTGAGGCCCATCGTGGTGTAGGCGCCTGGGTGATGTTGATGCAAGTCATCAGTGTGCAGCGGGGAGATGATCACGAAGACGACCGAAGACGTGATCATCTTGATCGGATGAGAGAGCGTCCGGGTTTGAAGCTGAGGGGTATTGAGTGTGTACTTGACGCTAGAATCCTCGAGGAAGTTCAGCTCTGCCCGGACCCGATTGCTTCTCGTGTTCCTCGGCGTGTATCTACCCAGAGGTTTCTTGAGATTGTCGGCGGCAACTTGACTGCATAGCTGCATGACGAGAATGCATGGTAAGAACATGGCGAAGACGAGATGGACAACTGTTTTATCATTTCTTTGCTACGGAGAACGATTTCAGCTGTGTCAAAGAGACCTTAGCTGGCTTGATCCACGAGAAGGTGCAAAAAAACGGACTCGAGGGAAGTCGATCAATATTGAGAATTCATAGCTTCGTCTGACCACACGAGCGCAAGGGGCAAAATTAAACCCAGAGATACTGGTAGGTAATAAACGATAGTGATGGTTATCACCCGGAGATCTTCCACTGATAAACTGTGAGAGGTAAATTCCTTTGGCGGGCGGAAGCAACTCCGATGAAATGACGCAAACTGTATTAAGTTGAGCGGCCCCTGGGATGAAGTAACCATTATGCATGACTCACGGAGCATGAGGGAGCTCCATCTCAAGTCGAGGCCGGTGTCTCGCACGCCGGTGACATGTCTAAGGTCTTTAAACTGTCTCCCTAGCAGGTGATCAAAAATTGCTCAACGAGCAGCCTGCTGCATAACTGCGTATCTTACCTAAAGCACTGTAGCCGAGCCTCGACGAGAAGACACGTTCACTCTCAGAAGAGCGTTCGTCGTTCACCTCTGTCGCCTGCCTGCTACCGTACAAGTTAGACGGTGCAACACCCGACTCCGATGATTCCGGCGGCATCGCTCGTGCGTGCCACTGTGTTATATCAAAGTGCTAACGGCAGGTAGTCCATTCGCTTGACGGTTAGCGTACACTCACTGACTCCAAAAAGGCAGAACTCGAGCCAAGATCACTACTATAACAATCTCAACAACATTGATCGTGCAACTGCTACCACAGCTGTAGACAGTTGCAAGCTGGCATTCAGACGCAGACGCACAGAGGAAGGTAGTGGGCCCTGGCAGAACACTATAAACTTGAAGGATTAGAAAGTTGGAGTTGCTCTCAACATTTCTCTAACGAAGTGAGCCGGAACCCTGGATCAATGCTAGTGCTGATCAGTCCGTGTCAAAAGCGGTGTCAAGAACAATTTCGAGCGTCAGGATAGGTAGAGTTGATCACTCGTTGGGTTGTTCGACACCACAGATCCCGTTGACATGGAATTATAACACTAGCGAGAGCGTCACTACCTGGAGGAATAGACTGAATACATTGTAGGTTCTGCTGTATGTTTGCTTTTCTGCGAACTTTGGACGCTTTTCTTATATTCAATAAACAGCAGCAGAACAGCTTCCTGCTAGCCATAGTTAAAAGGAGGAACAGATTGGGCAGACAGATTCCATAGCGCACAACTTTTAGAAGATAGAGTGATCAGTGTGAACGACCTCGGTTTTCTGATGATGCTGAGGAAGTTTGAAAAACTGAGGAAGACTAGAAGCATTAGCGAAGCGCAAGCGCGTCGTGGAGACATTGTCCGACTCCCATTGTCGTTTTCTCTTCAGTCGTTCTCTCTTTTCGATCCAGACTCCAACGAGGCTCCAATAGTTTGCTCAAGCTGCACATCACTCATATCATTCTGAATGATGTGAGTGATGTGCAGCTGATGTGACGTGAATGATTCATTCACATTGTCTCTTCCTCCGCAACCTGGCATGTATCAACTCCCTGAAAGCAGACGAGTTCCCTGGTGTCAAGCGTGATTTGTTGTCAGTCATACTCCATCCTAACATGTATGCCGATACTATCTAATACATTCATCACAAGGCCAGGGCGTGAATTATGTTATCACGACCAAAGGGGAGGAGAATGGCCGAGAAACAGAATCGTTGTTGGCCATGTTTTAGGCGAGCGGAATTCAGCATAATGCCAGATGAACGCGAGCAAGTCGATCCTAGTACTCTCTCGCTCGCGCGTGAGTCGCATGGGGTCATACAGTCTGGATTCGGATCCAATTTCGATGAACAATCCGCCACCAATGACCAAGGGAAAACTGGTCTGTAATTCACAGACTGTAACGCCTCCCGCAATCCCATTCCATCCGCTACCATGGAATCCTCTCCAACGCTGTCAATGGAACACTCGAGTCAGCAGCCTTGAACACGGATTTAGCGCCTTCCATGTGTTAGACAAACACAATCAATGATGCTCTTTGAGCACAGCAGAGCCGTGTGCGTCGACAACAACCTCGTGGTCATCCTCCCCTTGCCATAATACAAGTCGATCCTCATTCTCTATAGGTTTCTTGACCTATAACATGGACGGTCCACGTTTCGAAGAACATGCGGAAATAGAATCAAACTCCAAAACTCAATGACATCCAACAAGATGAAACCTAATGACAATAGATGGTGAAAAAAGAGGTGATAGAACCAGTCATCGAAGATGACACATCCTAATCGGAATCATCAGCTTGTGGCATGTAAACATAAGACATGAATGCAGTATGCGGGTCCTCAATTGGCAGCTACTGCTGGAGCATCATGATGACGAGCCCCCTGGGGCCTAGAACAATATCGCATGATACCAATTGCAGAGCGGAATGACTGAGAGTGAATGAACACTTCTTACTTCCCTCGCCTCCAGTTATGGTATCCTGTACGATAGTTCAGGCGAGTAACGTGGATCTCAGTGGGATCGTCAGCCTGGTCCAGAACAGCTCTCTCCAGGAGCATGCGCGACACATTAGCGAGAACCTAAGGTCCTCGCAGTATGCGGAGAGAGTGTGCAGCCCGGAGCAACTCACGTCATGTACTTCTCCCTTCGCTCCTTTATGACCACCCTTACGCCAATTCATATAGTCATCTCTATACATTCCTAGAGCCTTAAGTTCTTCTGAGAAGTCTACAAGGAGGGGGAAATAAGCACCGGCGCCAAGTACAGAATGATTACCGGGCAAGTTAGCTACATCCTCTTTCGTTGGTGGTGGGCGACGCTCAGAAGGCGTTGTAGCCATCGATACCAATGAGGCAGAAGACCATTCTGAACAACAATACGTCCCTCACAGTGACAGCTAGGGATGTGTCGCTTGACGACCGTACCTCCAGCTAATAAACTACTCAGCCCCGCGCGGCTCCTAGACATGCCCAGAGGGAGCTTGGCCGCCACATCTTCAGCCACCTTCCTGTATCCGACACGCTCTAACGCTCGTGATAATACACGTCTCCACTCCTCCCAGTTGTCCAAGCGGTATCTATACTGACTACTCAGATGAACTGAGTGGCATCAAAACATGCCTTCCATCCACTGGTAGTTCCGAGTTGTAGGGTGCTGTAAATAAGACATGTTCCCATGCTGGGTACTCCGATCCCGTGATGTAAGGCTTATCATCTATTAGAAGATCACCTCGAATCTTTGTTTTGTCTGATGTTATGATAAGCCTTGTGAGCCATCTAATAATTACCGATGTTGCAACATAATAATCACCAACGACCTGGCTCACTCGTCCCCAAGCCTCTCCTTTACCCATTGAGCCTTCTCTTGATGACAAAAACTGGATGCAAGGACGGGTGAAGTGCATAAAAGGAGGGAGACGCCTATGGACACGTAGAGTTGCACATCATTCCTGAGGAGCAAATGGTACCTGGCAAGGCTCCCATCTCACGAATAGCATCTAGACTGCCTGGCATTGCAGGCAGGCTTGCGAAGAACCCTTTTGAACAGAAAAGGCCAGTTGCCTCCTTCTTGTACCTACACCATGAGATGATCTGGATATGCACTCTATAACAGTCGATACTATACTTAGGCGGTACACAAAGCTCCATGGCATAGCTCTTCGTCCGATCGATATCGCTACGATCACCCCAGGCCGCTCCTAGCAATAACATATCCTCTTCTTGTTTATCCCTATCGAATCCTTAGTATTACTGAAGCCACTGTCCCAGTCCACAACACAGCCATCCATATCCAGGAGTATACATATCGGGGAAAGAGTTCGGGCAATGGAGGCGTAACGATCATTCATACCTGCTATCATCATCACTCCGCTGCTGTGAGAAGTCAATAGAGATACAATCAAGAGTCAAATGCTC